CAGAAGTTGAAATTCATAAATCACTGTGTGAGTAACTTGATATGATTATGAGCAATAGTTTGTGCTCGAAAAGTCATCAGTTAATATTACTGTATAACATTGTGTGATTTATCAAAATAAAATCTTATCCACAATGGAGTTATACTCTACCACAGTGCCCAAGTTTATACTTATATCTCTAAGTAGCTCAATGGTCAGCGAGGTTGGCCTTGTAACCTGAAGGTTCCAGGTTAGATCTCTGGTGGGGTCGTGGGTGTGCACTGATGATAAACCCCAGAATGGGATGAAACAGCTGTCCAGTATTCCTCGATTTTCAATGATCTCTACAACTGATTCTGGTTTCTGAGGAAAATATAATAACTAAAATTAATCTAAAATCCCCACAAGTCTTAAAATCTAAATAATTGGTTGGAGGATTTCATCATGAGCTGACATGCGAACCATTGCAAAACCTTTAGGGAGTACTGATCAGGTAACTGTTTCGTCAGAATAGTTTGAAGCTCTTCAACAGTACGCACCCACTACCACACTTCGAACCCAGGATCCTCTGGTTACAAGGCTACCGAGCTCTTAGACCATTAAGTCACTGTCACCCCATCCAGTTGCTAGCCCATGAATTCCAACTTCTGCCAATTCACGACATAGCGCAACCACTTCGCAATGTCTTCTTCGATGAGTAACTGTCCTCACCTTCAACCTACTGTAGCCTACTGGTCACGGCTTCCCTACCAAAACCCCAGTCCCAGTGGCTTAATGGTCTACTGGCTCGCTAGCCTTGTAACTAGAAGGTCCTGGGCTCTTCTCCTGGCGGTGGATGTGTACTGATGAAGGGTCCCAAAGAAGGAAGATGATACAGCTGTCCAGGACTCCCAGCTAGTTTTCCAATGTTTCTCTAACTGGTATCAGCTCATGATGAAATCTTCCAACCAATCAAACAAAAAATCCCTACAAAACCACCAATACTTGGAAATCTAAATAAATTCTTTTATTAACTCCTCAAATATGCATTTCTTTGTTTCATATAACTAGGGTCAAGTGAGTCTCTTATAAAGTTACTTTTAACCATTCTGCTCAAAAAGTACATATGTATGTCTTGTTATTTTTATGATTAAAATGATTGATACTTAAATATTTACAAAATATGCACATAAAACAAAATAGAAAACACCTATTTTATCCTTTTTGTCTATAAAGTTTGAGGTGTACGTAAGACCAAGAATAAAAATAATAATAATAATAGAAAGGGAGTACCCTATATTTATCTGGCTATTATTCACCTGGCTATAGAAAACATGAAAGGGCAGACTACTCAAAAAGTGCATGTATGCATGCACCAATTCACTCAGTCGGTGAATCAACTACTCCCCAACATTACTTTCTTTTCTATTCACTTTAAAATGTCATTCGAATAGTATAAAAATTAGACAGTTCATACTGTTTTTATTTAGTGAATATTTGTCATTCATTGTTCATTATTTTTCTTTCCAAAGTCTGTTAATTTTCTTTGTCTCGCTTTTCAGGAGTAATCTTGTCGGCTGGTTGGACCAACTTTATGACTGACAGTTTAATACCCATTAATGTTTGGTATTGTTCAAATTCTCACACATATCCAAATACATAAACTTCTATTTTTTATTAGGTGTTGATGTCGTATACTATGAACAAAATCTGTCTACATTAAAACAATTAATTGGACAGATGAAATAATAAATAAGTAGTAGATATGATTTTAAAAAATTTAGCGTATTCCAATTTATGACTGAAAGACGTTTATAATATATCGAAACAAAGGAGAAGTGAAAAGCCAGGCTGCCGGAAGATTACAAATATATCCAGATCGCAGAGATCCTGGACCTATCTCTGGTTTCAGAAGACTAAGCTTAATACTCAGTACTAGATGGTTGCAGGCAATCGGCAGGAAGCCTTGGACCTAGGTTTCGTGCTAGTTGGCACTCATCAGCAAGGCGTATCTGCAACCTTGAAGGAACTGATGTCCCTTCTGAGATTCGAACCCGCGTCACCCAGTGCTACAGTCAGAGACGTTACCACTGAGCTATTCGGGCTCGCGACTGACCTCCTGTAGGACTGTGTTGGATATTTTTGATTGCACACTAGTCAGTCACTAGTGTAATGCGTCTAGTCCTATCTTCGGTGCAGACTGAATTCTATCAGTCATGTTTGCAATGTGGCCACCATGCTAGGTGGCTCGCCATTATGCATATAACCATCTAATACCAACAATTCACAGTGCACCGTAATGGCGAGCCACCTAGCATGGTGGCCACATTGCAAACATGACTGATAGAATTCAGTCTGCACCGAAGATAGGACTAGACGCATTACACTAGTGACTGACTAGTGTGCAATCAAAAATTAGTACATTATGCACCGTAACCGACAAGGAACAACAGAAAACGCACTGGGCAACATGATTATTTATTCTTCAAGCGATAACGAAACAGATTTACAGTGGTTAATCAGTGCAAAAGTCTTCATTATAATTAAGGTTTTTGTATTTCCCAGTGAATGAAAAACAAAACGATATTGTTTTTACTGACGTTTCGCTGTTTAATACTAATAGCTTTATCGAAGTATTATTAAACCGGAATTTACAAAATCTCAGCATATATATAACAAAGAGTTAAGGGGTGATAAAGTAGACTTAGGTCAAGTTAATAGGACATATCGAAAGTCAAAATAACAATGAAGATCACTAAACCAAATAACAAAGGTAATAGTACGACTGTTATGATATCAAAACAAAGTTTCGGGTCCCAGTGGCTTAATGGTATACGAGCTCGCCTTGTAACCAGAAGGTCCTGGGTTCGAATCCCGGTGGGTGCGTACTGATGAAGAGTCCCAAACTAGGACGAAACAGCTGTCCAGTACTCCCAGGTTTTCCAATGGTTCTCTAACTAATGTCAGCTCATGATGAAAATCATGTAACCAATCAAATCCCTACAAACCAACACTTGAAAGTTTCACTAACTTGATCATCGTTCGTCAGTCTGGGGGCATTTTTTGTTTTCAAGTTGGTCAGTTGGTAAAGATAACAAAACCAAGTGCAGATTGTTGGATTTGATCAGTGTGTAAAATTAAGAAAGCAGTGTGTGTTTACATAGTGAACTTGCATATCACATTCTTGTTGATTTTGTCACCTCATGGTGCTAAAGTCTGTAAATAAACGTTAATATAATATACAACAATACTTTTCAAATATTCATTCTGACATCTATAAAACACAAAATAATTGAGCAAAGAATATCCTTTTCGATAAATTCCTCTTGTGGCTCTACAATTACATATATGTTTATATACATAGAATATTCTGGATTAGAAGTCAATAACAATATTAGTGTTTTTTAAATACTGTCGATTTATTAAGTAGGATCAATGTAATATAAACTGAAATTAGGAAAATTCCACAAAAATTAAGGGTCATTCAAACCTAGATGGCCAAGGTAAGGATAATGTATTTCTCCAATCTTGTGCAGAGTAGCACACAATTAAGCGATGACAGCCTTCTTATCTCCAGCCAATATGGAGACCAGTTAGAATAAACAAACTATTCAGTGTTCAACAACATTGACAGTGGCTGTAAAGATCAAAACAGATTTATTGTGGTCTAAAATGCAGGAAACCAGTCGTTGCGTTCTACTTTATGCCTGAGCAGAACTGTATGGGACTGTTTAATGAGCTCAATCACATATCAAGTATGCGAATAAAAATCCAAGTTAATGTAATGGTAGTTTATCAATATATTATAAAAAATGCAGTAATGAGTGACAATTAAACGGTTACTTGGATATACAGTTAAAGTCTACGGTTACAAATTATTACTATAATCCAAAGAAGCGTTCACTACTGGAGTCGTGTCTACTGGTAGAAGCTGTGTACCGGTTGAAGAATAGTCTTCGGATGAGGATAAGAGGTTCCTGCAAAAATCCAAAGTATACAACACGGTTATGAATGAAGCAAGTAGACAGTATAGACCAGTCAGAAGACGAAACGACCAACAGTACAGTGTATTTTAGATTGTACTCGGAAGTTATCTATATTCCAACATGAATCGTTCTAAACAAAAGTCATGTACAATGTCTCTAATTTCAACATCTAACAAAAAGGTGTACAGTCATATTGTTACGTACTCCAAAGAACTTTCTCGAGTTACTCACAGTCACAAAAATGTCCCTATCGATAGTAAGAAGACAGTTATCGCCGATAAGATCTGCGATACTGTTCAGCAATCATGACATATCAAAACACAAAGGTACTTCGACGGTACCGCTAGGCTACTATACAGATCACGATAGTTTTCAGATTTAAAACAAGTACTGTAGAACAAATTAGTCAACCAAAATTCAGCTGTAAGAAGTACCTGAGGATCAAGAAGAATATTACCACATGATGGGACCATTACTCCGTCACAGACTAAGCAGTTCCAGCAGATAGTCCAAGGTGAAAATTACCTTGACACACTCAAACAAAGTCACATTGTAATACAACACATTATCGATATCATCTCACAACCACAAAGAGAAGCATTCAAATTAGAGATTAAACAGGAAGAAAGACAATAAGTGATATGCAAATGATATATAGCCTAGGAGAAAAGAAGAAAATAACTGTGAAGCTATCAGAAATTCCCCAAATAAACATAAATACTATGATTAAATCGCTGGAGAGGGATTTTCCAAACAATGTTTCCGCTATACCGGTTTCCGAACCTTTTAATACACTATGTCATGTCTGTGTCTCTTACTTCTGCAATCCAGGACTTGCAACAGTACGCCTGCATAACCTCACTCTAACTTGGCTTATTTGGCTGTAACACAATAGTATTATGTTTTGACAAATGAACAATGGCGTTTATTTTACTAGTTTATAACATTAAAATATGGTGTGACTAGTTGTTTATATTCACTTTTAACTGATTAAATGACCTAAATGATATTTGCACTTCGATTCGATGACTCATAGAATCGATTGGTTAGTATAAACAATGTTCATGTGGCCTATACCAGTGACATTATGACTTTAGACAAATATAAAACGGTTATTCTACGAGGAAAGTTAACAAATTTTTACAAATATACAACATGCAGTCATCTGTAAGTCATTAGATTTTCTTATTTTTTGTGTACTTAAGTATTCTAAATTCCTCCGAATAAAAGTAGACAGTTTTATCCCCCATTACTTGGTTTTGAGCGTTGGTGGCACAGCGGTAGGAAGCTCGTCAACCACCCTCCATGTGGTCCCGGGTTCGATCCCCGGCCGACGCACTCCTTTACCTCCCTAAGCCAGTAATGAGACTGGTAAAGAGGGAAGGTTAGGCATGAGGCTAGCAACCTCATCTCGTAAAAGTAAATACCACTGCTGCAGAAACTTCAAGCCTCTAGCTTGAATCCGAATGTTCCACTGGGAATTAAAGGAATAAACAAAATTTGATTTTTAATTCAATTTCGACGGGATCAAAATTTTCGGCCTCTGTTGACAAATCAGCTGCTAATAAGAACGTTTTGACGACGTCTGAAAATTAACTTGAAGTAGTTTGGTGGATAGTGACTAGCAGTGGAATCCAGGATGAGTGTTCCGTCCTATTGTGTGACTTTTCAGCTAGGTGTACCTGTAACCCGAGTGATTGATGGGTATTGAGTTCGAATCACAGTGGGAACAACGCAACTTTCCAGGAATGCAAGTACATCTGGCTGAAGAATCCCGAATGGGATGAAATGAGTATCTTGCATTCCAGCGCTAGTCACCATCCACTAAACTGCTTCAAGTCATTGGGATACGATCCAGTGGTGAGGCCATGAATTCCAATTTCCGCCAATTCATGATATGACGCGACCACTAGTGAATGCCACTTACTGGTCACGAGTTCCTACTTGAACCCAGGTAACTACCTACCTTAATAGGGTCAGTCACTGATGAGCATTTCATTGATATTCAAGTGTTGGTTTGTAGGGATTTGATTGGTTTCAGGATCTCATAATGTCATCATCGATGTCAGTTCATGATGAAATCTTGAAACCATTCAAATCCCTGCAAACCAGCACTAGATTAAAATATTTCCATGGAAAGTGAGAAAGGCTAGAAGATCGCATGGGATTCACCATTAATTATGATACATACTCATTAAGTATATTATGCCCATCAAGTTAACAGTAACATGGTCACCTGTAGATTAAATACTAACTGAGACAGAACCACTTTAAGTAACCATTAGGGAATATCTAATATAGTCATGGTCATGTTTGAAAGTAATACGCCGAATACTGATGCCTTTTTTCCTAAGTGTTTTAATTTTTATAAGTGCACCTTTAAACTTCATTCTAAGTCATGAAGAAAATTAAAACACAGTTCAGAGAAGAAAATTTTCTTTATCGATGAAATCATGTTCAGAGGCTGGGCAGTCGTATTTGCATTCACCAAAACAGCATAGTAGTCCGTTACTGAGAAATAGGGTGTGTGTGTGTGACACAACTGATATAATTACTCAGAAGTGGCTTCAGAAGTAAAAGTAAAAATAAAAGTTATAAATTACGTAATACTCAGTCTACAGGAAACCGACATGGAATGGTCAATACATGAATTTTCATAGCTGGATCCCTTTGAGAAGAAAGAGAAATCTAATCCACTCCTTATATTCAGAAATAAGAAGGATATGTACCAGTGATACGGTCGATAGGGAACTGGAACGACTCATACGAGTCCTCATGGAAAATGGATATCCTTCAAGATTCATCGAGAAAAACATGAAAGTAAAGCGGAAACCTGAAAGAACCCAGACGGTGCCGAAGAAACTGCTATTTATGAACTTTGAATTTAGAGGCGATACCGCAGCTGAGATTCTGAAGAACCGCCTATCCAGATCACTAAGAGAAGCCTTCTTTTCTGCTGAGCTACGGATCAGTTTTCACAGTCGACAAATGATCAATGGATATGTGAAGGATAAACTGTCGCTTTGAGTCACTTCAATGTGTGTTTATAAATTCACCTGTTCCTGTGGAGCTAATTATATTGGCCACACAAAGCGCACACTTTCCAAACACATCTCTGAACATTATCCGGCGGCGTTAGCAAAAGGACCATGCAAGACAGTTACTAGCTCAATTCTCGAGCACTTTTTGAACTCAGGGCACGTAGCTCCACCAGAGTTGTCTTCCTTCAAGGTTATCTACAAGGTGAGGCCAAATGGTACAAAGAGCGTCAGGTTAAGGCATTTGTATATGGTGGACGCGTTGGCGATTCGTCGATACAACCTCGATCTCTGTTTACAGAAAAAGTTTGTCCAGTCTCTTATTCTACCATGGTCTTAACCCCTTCATTATTCGTTCCCTATAAATTTTTTAATTTTTAATGATTACTTAGATAATTAATTCACTATTATCACTCCCACATATTCCTTTTGTATGTTTTCTCACTCTCTTCACACCTGTTAAATGGACACTCAGCTACCGTTCTTCTCACTCAATAACAATTTTAACCCTATCAAATTTCTAACACTTTCCTCTTTACTTCCGTTGAGTACTACGTAATTTATAACTTTTATTTTTACTTTTACTTTTGGAGCCACTTCTGAGTAATTATATCAGTTGTGTCACACACACATCCCTTATTTCTCAGTAATGGACTACTATGCATTTTTGGTAAATATAAATACGACTGTATAGCCTCTGAAGATGATTTCGTCGATAAAGAAAATTTTCTTCTCTGAACTGTCTTTTATTTTCTTCAATCTAAGGCTTATCTTTTGTTCTGTTATGGCGGATAATTGACTTCTAGTAAATCTCAGTAACTAGCTCTTGAAAACTAATCTGATGCTCTCTAATGACTGCTGTCTACAGGACGAAGTTGCCTGCAATCCTAGTAAGAAGTCGTAACTAGTGGGGTCACTGATGACACTGACTAGTGGTCAAACTAAAATCACAAATTGATAGAGGTTAGAATTCATGGACCATTAGATCAGGTCCCAGTGGCTGACTGTTCTAACAGCTTGCTTGACTTATTACCAGAAGGTCCTTGGTTAGAATCCTGGAGGTGTGAGCCTGCTTCTGGAGAGTCCCAAACTAGGACAGGATAGCTGTTTAGTGTTCCCCAGTTTTCACTGGTTCTCTAACTGATACCAATCAGTGGTCAAATTTGAAAAAAATCAATTCTGCACAAAATAAGTCTTGAAAATCAACTTTAGATAAGAAATCCTAGTAGATTAAGTTACATAATGAACGGTGATGGAGGCTGATCCCATTTTTTACGAATGTATCTACTTCGTATCTCTTTCGAACTTAATAAAACGCATGAAACACTGTCATTCTAGCCTGCTGTAAATCATGTTCTTTCTTTATCGATATATTTATACTAATTATTTTCACTGAAATCACTGTGGATACCTTACGATATCTTAAGCTGTAATAGACCGAATTTGAAGTGTTGTCCATCTAGATATAAAGTTTTAGGAATTCCGATGAATAGCAAACAGCAAAACTGGGACTTATTAACGAATATTTAATAGATTGCATCACACTGTCATTTACTATAAGGATTAATAAACTGACAGCTGCGTCTGTTATAATATCACAATCGGAGAGTTTATAAAAATTTCATTCATCGTATCTAACAAAAGTAGGTTTCACTTGTCTTATTCCATGTTGCATTTATCTACAGTGATGCAGTATTGATAAGTGGATGAAGTTTCGAGCACAATGTTCTAGTGAGAATTCGTGACCAGTGAGGTCCATTTATATGTCACGTGTGTGGATGGATGTCCCACCAACGACAATGGTTGGGGTCGCGCTAAATCACGAACTGGTCGAAGTTAGAATTCATGAGCCATTGAATCGGGCCCCAGTGGCTAAATGTTACACGAGCTTGCCTTGTAACCAGAAGGTTCTGGGTTCGAGCCTTGGCGGTGGATGCGTACTACCGACGATTCCCAAACGAGAATGAAACAGCTGTCTAGTACTCTCTGTGGCTGGTTCTCCATGGTTCTCTAACTGATATCAATCCGTGATTAACTCGTAAAAACACTATGTTTTACTCATATTCATATGAATGTGATTTTGAGCAGTAAATTAGGCTCGTAAAGTCATCCAGATGTCAATATTGTATCACTGTGTACTATTTAAAATAAGCTTATCGAATATGGAATTACATTTTACCACAGCACTTACATCTACACTTACATCAATTCTACTTATGGTCTTCTACTTTGTAGATTAATCAGTAGACTGACACGACTTTCGCTTGTATTATGCTGATAAGTTATTAAATACTATGAGGAATTAAAATATGAGTCAATTCACATTCTTCAGAGACTAAAATTGGACATTTCAAGGCAGACAGAGAAAAACGAATTATATGATATCACTTCAGTAAATTAGATTTTCTGACCTTGCCATAACTTTCCATGTCTTGGTTTTAGAATACTTGAAGGCACTCAGGTACTTTAAAAATTCGATAGAAAACCACTAGTCTGAACGTTTGATAGTGATAGTGATAATTTTAAGTGCCTAGCCATTAAGTTAACACAGGGTCCTTTTGCATAAAAGAATTTACCCATACTTCCTTATGCATATGTAAGCTAACCTACAATTGCCAAGTGACTACATCAGTTAGACAGCCGTCGGAAAACCAGGAAGCAATGTACAGCTGTTTCATCCCATCCTAGGACTCTTCAACGATACGCATCTACCAGGTTTTGAACCCAGGACTTCCAGGTTACAATCCGAGCTCTTGGGTCGTGGAACCACTGAGATCCGATTGAATGTCTCATGAATTGCAACTTCTGACCATTCTTGATATATATTGCACAACCACCAGCCAGTAGCATCGGTGAGTAACTGTTCTCATACCTGACTTGGCGGATCCAACTGGTTACGACATATCATTATGACTCCAGTCAACAGCGAGCATCAGATTAATTTTCAGGAGTTAGCTGTTGTCTATTGCAGTTTATTCACCTATTCCAATTTTGAATTCTTTCTTTATCACTCAAACAGGGGATCGTTTCATCTGTATACAAACAGTAGTTATTCTTCTCAATATTCGAGTAATTTCTGAGGCTAAGCCTACGAATACAAGACTTTTTCTGTGCTATCTTTGATTAACAAAAGATTTTTATGAAAAGACATAATCAGATAGATATTTTCCAGCTAAAATAAGCCCATCCCCGCCTTTGAAACCACTTTCTTAAACAAAGTTTAAAACCGTCTTCTATGTTTTGTAATCAACTGAAGAAAAAGTATGAAACTTAAGACGTTTTATTTCATGACCATACTTTGTTTATTCCCGCCTTTATTTCATCAGACTTGAAGACAATGAAAGTGAAAATTATCACAGTGATTATATTTCACAGTAGATTTCACATTCTGATATGTCTTATCAAGTATGGAAAGTACATATGAGAAACGCTTAAGTTCATGGCAAACAAAACTAATGTAATGGCAGGAGACAAGAGAATCCGATAACAGAATTATTTGCAATTAGTTGTGTTCTCTGAGCTGGTTGGTTTAATTGCGGAGCTTTTGTCTTCTTTCTAGACAACATCTTCGTAGCAAGTTTTAGTATAAAATGAACTGATTTAAATTCTCCATGAATGATAAAATTGCGTCTCCTGGTAACCATCTTCATGACTAGTAGTCGACTTACATTTTTACTGATCACTTTTATTGACTTGGATTTTGAACTTTCTCGTCACATGATTACTTTCATCAGTTGATTGTCTATATTAACAGGTTTGTTAATCACATATACATTTGAGTACCAGGCTTCTAGGAATTCTCTGTCACTTTTGGTGTTTCCTCTATTTGAAATTTTGACATTATCCCAATCAAACTGATATCCATAATTATCTACATGCATTGATGTGAAAGAGTATATATCATGCTCTCTTACAGCCAATTTGTGTTTTTGAATTTGGATTCGAAGGAGACGGCCACTCCGACTACCGATGTAATGTTTATTGCAGTTCATGTATGCAATTTATTCTGTAAATGGTATTAGTGTTATCTTCTTTTTCTGTTGGATCCTTCGGCTTGCACAATATTGAATGAAGTGGTTGTGCAGGCCGGGTGACTGGCTTGCTTGTGTGCTATTTGTATTTCAAACGGTTTCAATATTCTAGCTACTATTTTGGAGATATTTTCTATATGTGGTAGAATCAATTTTCTTGTAGTCTTTGATGATGGTTTCTTGTTGGGGTTGTGACTCGATTTTAAATACTCTTTGATGAAGTTGTGAAGATATTCATTCTTTTTGAGGACGATTACTAGCTATTTTTCTTCTATTCTCTTCAACACATGAGTGCTACAGTGTGTTTGAACTCTTTTAAACAATGTCTACACACAGTTTCTTTTGTGAGTAATTGGGTTATTGCTACTGTAGTTGAGTATTTGATCTGTGTGCGTAGATTTTCTATATACTTGTGTTTCTAAATTTCCTGTGCTAGTTCATGGCAAACAGAACTAACGTAATGGTAGAAGACGAGAGAATTCGATAACGTAATTATCTGCTAGGAACTCGATAAACAAATACAGACAAGACACGTCTACCATATATTGAAATCACACTTTGCACATATCTTCGGTGTTGTGCTAATTTTTTCTTCCTTTCATGTTTTCCAGATTCATTTCTTCTCTTCGTTATTAAATCCATCTCTCTTCTGTTTAATATTCGTGAAGATGATGTAGAAATTTATATTTGTGTCTATATACTACTTATAAATCCTGTCAGTAACATGCGACACATTATTTTAGTTTGTTATATGGCTTAATACACAACTTATTACTTAAATTAATCAGCTAGTATATGTGAACCTTTAAGGCCTTTCTACTGCCTATCAAGGAGACTGACGAATGTCTTCACTACACCCTTCCACATCATAAGACATACGTCAATTATAATTGTTCTGTGCACATAAATGACTACTAATATTTCACATGCATATTTTTGTTTCTAAAAAATTTAGAGTAATGCTCAGAATACAGATTCATCATCCGAACCAATTATCACATCATGCAAAACAGATGATGATAAAGAAACAGGCAGTTTATCACCTGTATGGTGCGCATTCTTACCTGGTTCTGGACACTGTTCTTCTTCAGTAAACACAGAGAATGTTCTAACTTCAAATTGTCAAATGACTGTACATATTCTTCGTTTTGGACCAGGCCAAGATTTGAAGGAATGCTTGATTCATCATGTTTTGAAGTATCATCTGTCTGGAGCTTTCATTATCACATGTTGTGGAAGTGTTAAAACTGCTCACTTACGCTTAGCCAATCTTCAAGTAAACAAAAGTTTTATAAATTTATCATATTACTAGTCATTAGGAAGTAGTTAGAAATTTTACCAATAAAATTACTAATCTTGTGTAACATCTGGTAACAGTAATATATAGTTTCCGCACATACATTGTTGGATACACATACAGAAAGTCAAAGAAGCAATTACAGTTACGCAGTCTAGTTTTAGTTTTATTTTATTCCATAATCAATGAGTTAATGTCTCATCTTTCTCTTTATACTAAAAAAAGAAATCTCCTTACACATCAACGAGGACTGAATATGCAAATTGTATAATAATAATTTGTATGATTTGCTAATCAGTCACCAGTTTGCATTTCACCCAGTTTGAGTTTCCTTTGGAAACCGAAATTACTCGGGTCACCGTTTGTGATCCGCTTTATGCCATCAATGGTACTCAGGAAAGCAAACATATTTTTGCAAAACTATATTATTATCGTATTATTTATTATTGTTTCCTTAAATTCCTAGAGAAACATAGGGCTTCAGCGACACGTTTCCATTGCGTTCGGTTCTCCGCCAAAGTTTTCACCTGGTTCCACGTCTGCCCACATGCTTCCATCTCCTCTTCACATGACCTCCTCCATGTCATCCTCGCACTGATTACCAACTCTCCGCTTCCCATTCGGGTCCCACTCTAACGATTGCCTAGCGTGTGATGTCATTTGATGGTTTTCCCAGAGTAGGTCAAACCTAACTCCATTTCTTCCTACGTATTTATTGAACCATCGGTTCCTGCTAGGTTGGTTCACTCTCAGAGATCCCTCTGTTGCCCATCTATTCTGGCCATCTGATCTTGAGTAGTAGTGAGCGAAGATAGCTGTTGATGAAGGTGTATAGTTTGTTCGAAGTGGCCCTCGTGACGAGGCGCCAAGTCTCTCCTCCTTATAGTTAGTAGCACTGACTTCACATTGGAATTGAAAATACGGATCTTATTTCCATTTTCACGCTGAGTGCTGCTGACCTCCAAACAGACTTGAGAGAAATGAAAACTTGCCTTGCTTTCCCGATCTTCTATTTGATATCCTCATCAGTTCCTCTTGTAGCTGAAACGATTCCTCCGAGGTGGTGGATGAAGGGGGCTGCTTCTTTCAGATTTCTCCCATTTTTTCTGATTGTTGTCTGTTGCTGCTGTTGCCCAGGAATCTTCACCACCTCTGTTTTCTCTATGTCCACCTGAAGGCCTATCTTTGATGTTTCTTCTATCTCCAACTTGTTGCCTTTCACTTGCATACCTTCCATTTTGTGGGAAACCAGACATATATATCATTGGCGAAGTCCAGATCCTTCACGTTTTTTGTGTGGGTCCATTTTGTGCCTGTTTCCTTGCTGCCCGACCTGCTGTCTGTCGCATTGTCCAGTCTACTGCAATCAGGAGAAACATTGGAGATAGTAGGTAACCTTCCTGGTCTTACTCCCGTCTTCATTTCGAATAAAACCATATACTGCGGATTAACTTGAGATTAGTAGTTGTATATCACTCATGCCAACCAGTAGTGTTTTACAACCAGATAGAAGTGATATAAGCACTAGACGACCGTTTCAGTCGTTTGCGGCCAAGTTCACTAACCCTGCCTGAAGTAATCTGGCTCTCTAAGCTGTGTCATAGGGAATTCTTAGGGGACTAGACATATGCTTCTTCTCTGTTCAAAATCCTTTAGAAGTATGCACCGACGAACACGATAAAAACCATCGTGTTACTCAGTCTGAATTCAAAGACACATCACTTATAACTTCTTTGGAATCGCGATAAGGCTCCAACCCTATCTAGTGTTATCATCGAGTATTTGTCCTCACAACCAATTTCGTGGAACACATTAACAACTATTCTTAATTATAACTTCACAAAATCCATCTCACGATCAGTCTGTAGAAAGCAGAAGACTGATAGTAAGATGCTGGATTCGCTGTGATTTGATTTACTTAAAATATGAAGCGCTCCATAGAGTTACAAATTAAGTATACATACTTATAAATAATTGAGAGCGTGCAAAATCATTATCAACCAACTATAAGTACTGTACTGCAATCTGGCAAACTGACCAAGTTCTAATATTATATCAATAAGAAGTACCTACAGAAGTAGACGACCAGTATATAAACTGCAATATTATGAGATGGGCGGAAGCAATCTACAGGAAGCCTTCTACTTAGGCTTCCTGCTTTTTGGAACTCACCAACCTGCATAGCGTTTCTGCAGCCTTGAAGGAACCCATGTCCCCCTTAACACTGGAGTCCATCTTATCCAATGCTGCAGTCAGAGTCGTTACCACTGAGCTATTCGTGCTCTCTAGTGACCTCCTGTAGGACGATGTTGGATACTTTGATTGAACTGAAGGCAGTAAGTAACTAGCGTCATGAGAGAAGGCTTCTGTTTAGTGCATACTGAATTCTATCAGTCAGTGATTATTTCATTCTTAATTCAATTTTGATTTTCCCGCAGATCAACTGGACCGAAATGCCCGGACTCTGTTGACCTGTCAGCTGCTTCAGCAGATGCAGATATCTGAGGATTAACTTGAAGTAATTTGGTGGATGCTGACTGGCAGTGGAATCCATGAGCCTCATTTCGTCCTATTTACTACTCTTCATCAGGATTTGCCTGCATCCCCCAGTGAGGGATAGTGTTCCCACTGAGACTCGAACTGAGTACCCATTGTTCCAAACGTCAAAGCGTTCTCCACTAGACCAATTGGGCCAGGTCATGAAGTTGAACGAAATACGCATCCTGAATTCCACTGCTATTCACCATCCACAAAATTACTTCAAAATTATTATTTCAGTTAAAAATTTCACTGGTACATCAACAATAACGTAGTCTTTAAGTTTACATTAATAACTTAGGTAGAACTAGTGTAAATTATGACATTTTATTGAAACATAGCACTGTATTCTCTGTATCCGATGGGGTTATTTATCAGAAAACCCCAGCTTCTGCACTTAGAAACATACATAGGCTACATATCACTTGGTTTGCAGGTGGAATGATAGCTTTATTCTGAAAACAAGCTGTTCATACCGAATACAGGTTTCTCACAGCAAATTTACTGCAAAGTATTTACTCCATAAGCAGAATCTTAGAGTAATAATAATCGATAATACATATATCATTTAAAGCAATAGTGTTTTATTTAAAGCGCATTCGAATATCTCGCAATATTCTTACTCTATTTCATTTGATGAAACACTCATATAAGAGTAGGGGCTTAAAACTATTTGAAGATGGGCGTAAATGTAGACTGAGAATCAAAAAACGTAGGTGGATGGTTAAAACAAAATAATTATGGAATACCTTTTAATACTTTTCATGACTGGAAAATTAATTAATCCAGTTGTTTTAAGTAGGCTTCTGAAAACAACTCTCATACATGAATTTAGAGGACAAAACTAAGTGATTTACAATTTTATCTTTTTCTATAGTTGGTTTGTAAGGATTAATTTTGTTTCTTACGAGTTGATCACGGATTGATATCAGTTAGAGAACCATTGAAAACCAGCCACAGAGAGTACTAGACAACTGTTTCATTCTAGTTTGGGAATCATCGGCAGTACGCACCCACCGCCAAGACTCGAACCCAGAACCTTCCGGTTACAAGGCAAACTCGCATACCATTCAGCCACTGGGACCCAATTCAATGGCCCATGAATCCTAACTTCGACCAATTCGTGATTTAGCGCGAACACCAACCAATGTCATCCTCACACGTGACTGTATGGATTCCTCACCGGTGACATTGGTTGGTGTCCGCGCTGTTTCACGAATTGGTAGAAGTTAGGATTCATGGACTGGCCATTGAATCGGGCGGGTTCCAGTGGCTGAATGCTCTCCGAGCTTACCTTGTAACCGGAAGGTCCTGGGTTCGAACTCTGGCGGTGGGTGCGTACTACCGATGGTTCCCAAACTAGGATGAAACAGCTGTCCAGTACTCCCTGTGGCTGGTTTTCAATGGTTCTCTAACTGATATCAATTTTATCTTTACTTAAACTTCACATTTTATTGTATTTTTCTAATAGGAGAAAGTTTTTGATGGCCCTTTTGAAATTACTTCACTTGTGGGTACATTAACCCATGATGGATATCCACATCTTCATATTTCACTGGCAGACTCTCATGGAAATGTATTTGGTGGACATTTACTTGGAAGTATAAAAATTCATACAACAGTAGAACTTGTACTTGGAGTAACTGGTATTGAAAAAAGCTCATTATTATCATCATCACATACTGAAGAGCAAACTGATTCCTGTTCTTCTTCTACAAAAGTGAGTAATGATCATAAACCTTCAGGAATTAGACTGATAAGAAAGTACAGTGAAGAAACTGGCTTTAAGGAATTAGCTGCTGAAGAAACTCAACAGTGATGTGTTATATTTTAGATAAAACTTTAAATTTTGTTTCCATTTTCACTGCAAATACTACTCACATCATTATCATTAGTAGTATTGTTTCTCATTGAAGTAGCTGAAATAACTGAATGCTGTGATTAAAACTTACTATGTACCGGTGCTAATTCAGTATGCTTCCTTTTTAATCACTGTATCCTTTTCTTTCACCGGGAAAAAATCGATTCCATCTTCTAGTCCCAAGCTTATTAATTGTTTATTCACTTAAATGGGATAATTTATATTGAAGCGATAACTGAAAATGCACCTGTTCAAATCAAATATAATTCGCTTGAATATTTTTGCTTTTCACTTAACAAAATAATTCTTTATGCTTTTTATTGGTTTACCTGTCGTATGTTAATGATTGTGCTACCGGTCTTCTTAACTCCGTGTGCAAAGATGTGTCGCCTGAGTATGGAACAGGCAGATTTACAAGGAAAAGAAAAACAAGTGATTCACTGAAGAGACTTTTTTTAACGAATTTGTTATCAGGCGGTACAATCATATATTTATATGCATAAATATTTTGAAATAACGGTGTGAATTGAGATAGAATATTTATTAAAAAGACGGTTGCAGCGAAGAAAATTTTCTTTTCGACGAAGTCATCAACTAGGCTGCACATTTGTGTATTTATATTAAATGTGTGAGAAAGTTCCAGAATTATCTCCGGTCAAAGGTCAAATTAATAAAACTGCAATGTGTAATAATCAGGAAGATCGGGTTGAAAAGGCATGATAAGAATAAAATTACTGGAAAACTCGTCAGTTTGTATGATTACGGATTAAGGACATCGTATTAACAAAATAGGTAGGAGATTTAGACATATAAAAATAAAAGCAGTAACCAAATCTAATAATGCAGATAGGGATATAAAATGTAAACGGGAAGGTTGGACAAGAAAGGTAAACGGATAATCAGTATGGTGGGACTGACTTCTCATGATGGCCATGGTAGAGACAACAGTTGGACATATTTCTTTTGAATACATAGAGTGGGCTTGAACTTTTGGATCGCTTGTGCCTCATCTATGGCCAGATGCCTTGATCTCACTCCCTTTAAGAGTTTCGATTACATCTTCTATAGGCTTTTGAAGGACTTTTCAAATGGGGCTGAATGTCCAGAATTCACCAGATGTTCTGTTATTGAACTGTATTGCCTTTTGTGTTCTTCCTTTGCTAACCATACTGAATAGTGTTCTCCGTCGATTGACTCTTCAGTGGAAACCTTCCGGATCCTCAAGGAAAGAGAATTTATTAGGTTTAGAAAACAGAAAGATTGAGCGAAGAAATATTCACTTTTCAATTAGATCCTCATCTCTGGCTCTACTCTACTCATAGCATTTTTATTACAATACACAACAGTTTACCAGTCAAGTGGCGATATGTTTGTTAACAATAATTAGTCAGTGTCAAAATGTCAATGGGTTGATAATTAACGAAGAAAATCAATACACATTTACAAGGTAGAAATGGATAGAATAAATTAACTTTAAACAATAACACGTAATTAAAGATGAAGTGGTCAGCAAAATGAAATAATTTGGACAATTACAATTTTTACAATTTTAAAGGTTTATGGGGAGGGTGGTGAAGTAGTCCGGTTAATACATTCATGTAACGATGGCCTGAAGTCAGAGATTTTAATTTCCAAGGAAATAGTCTGTGCCCAATTTTTACTTTTAAATAGGCTTCAGTCTTGTCTCCGCTAATAGTCTAGTCAGGCTTTCACATCCATGATTAGCGAAAAATACCATCAGCACTTGTGAGTCACTGTAAAATTTGAATGAAGCATGCAAAAATGCTTAACTGGCTAACTAAATCATCTACTAGAGAGAATGGCTAACTTGACAACCCTTAGATTACAGAAGATGACTTTCTGCTGGATATCGTTCTTTTATAAATAAAGCTTGGTGAATGATGAAAGGAATTTGAGTGGAAATTCACCATTACTCATGAATAATCTAAATCGCATAAACAAGCGTTTGTAAGAATGAATATCGACCTTCATCATTTTGACAGTGAAGATAAATAGAAAGATAGGAGATTCAGCGAAAGAAGCACCCCAAATGATTAGTTTGACCACAACTCTCACTTCTTGTTTACTTATTTCAATTATACTAAAATCCTTTCCCTTATCTGGACACTAAATAGTGCCATGCATCTAGTCCTTTTTCTGGTGCAAACTGAATTCTGTCGGTCAGGTTGACAGTGTGGCTACTACGCTGGGTGGCTCACCATCACGATACTCACTGAAATATTGTCATTGGATGGTTGGAGGCAGTTGGCCATAAGAAGGCTTTCACATAGGTTTTGTGCTTGTTGGCACTCACTAGTCACCAAATTGTAACTGCAATCTTGAAGGAACTGACATCCCTTCTGAGATTTGAACACGTGTTACCCAGTGCTGCAGTCAGAGGCGATACCATTGAGCTATTTAAACCCACCATCGACTTTCAGTATGACTGTATTGGATAATTTGAGTGAACGCTGGGTGGCAAGCAACTAGTGTCATGTGTCTAGTCCATTGTTTGGTGCAAACTGAATTCTATCCTTTGAGTATGACTTCCGATTCAATTCTGTCATTAATAAAAATCAAAGAAGGCAGCTACATAGTTTAGATCGTGTGAGTATATTCTGCTTCGTTTCAGCAGTGTATCTCAAGTAATATGTGTTCGGAAGCAACTGTGGTATTCTGTATCTAACAAGTGGGAATTTCTAATTTGTGAAAATTCAAGGAATAAATTACTGTGTACTCACATCATTTCGCCATTAACAGAAGTCTACTCATCTCACTTATATCCTCTAATATCAGTGAGATAAGGGGTAGACCTAAAAAATGATGCAGCAATCGTTTTTGTGACAGTGTTTTGAAGCTTACTATTACGTAGGTAATAAAGCTCACAGAAACTTCTGTAATGAGCTTTTCTATGTAGCAATTGATATCACGCATCTCTCAGGGCTAAATCAACATTCCCACTTATTATGATGATGAGTTGAGGAATGCCTAGATCATGTGTAACAAAAAATAATTGACTTGAGATTTTACAGTCAAGTTAACAGTTTTGTGAATTTCACTATTCAAGATAACAATTTCTAATCATGATTTCTCTTTTCACTTCTATGCAGGTATGTATAATCCGTTTGAACAATGTTTCCTGTTAACATCTTTTTTTCCTTTTTGTCACATGCGATAATGCAGAGGTTGGATAGGATGACGCATTCTAGTTGTCAGTGTTTCCTCCCTCGAACATAAGTGCAGTTTCATTCTAGCGGTTACATTTTACTTCACAACGACGAAAATAAATTAAATTCGATATCTATGAAGATTGCGTGAGAGTAGGGGATTTACGGTTATCATTTCTTTGGAGATTATTCCGAAATTCTGTTAAAGAATCTTGAATCATCCTTTGTACAAGCATTTTATAAATACATTTTGAAGAAGGCTTTTTGTAACGACCAGAACGGAAGTCTGAAGTCTGGTCCGAACTCAGGGAACGAATTGACACGCTACCCACCCCGTGTGACTTACAGTTCCACTGTGTCCCTGTGATAGCAATCAGACAGTTATGTGAGATGAAATCTGTGGGGAACTGTTGAACAATGATAACATACCAAAAACGCAAAATTATCTCAGCAGTGGCATTAGGCATCTATACAGTTCAAGAATTTCTCATGTACAAAACAAAATTAGTTCACCTAAAAGCGACCTTGGTTAATACCTGAGAATCAGACAGAATATTCCCAACAAGGTGAGATCGAAACTTTGTTGGCAAGAATCAAAGATACCAAACATGTTTCTCACTGACAGTCCAATTTCAAAACGGTCCCCGCTGCATAACTTCGAATTTACTTAAACAAAATCTCGATCGTAAAACAACACTTAATCCTCAATAGTTCAACACTACCCAATGGTTAAGTTAAACATTGGGAATGGGAATAAACCACAAAGAAAGACCACTAAAACGGATTAAATCAAGGGAACATATGTACACTTTGGAATGATGATACCCAGTTCAGGGATAAAATGGGTAATAATTACACAGTCACCTGAAGTTATCTGAATGAGCATCGTTATTGTAGATGGGATGTTTAGCAGGGATTTTCTGAACAATTATTCCACTACCCTTTTAACAAAATAACCTTCCTTAATGCTCCCGTGCTGACTTTTTTCATATAATTATGTTTTATTTAAAGTAAGTAGATAATACTTTATTCGGGATTTTTTTCAACTGACAATTAGTGAACTAGAATAATCCCTGTCGTTTATCCACAGTACTGCAACACATGACAGTTCCAATACTATTCTCGCACTGAAATGACGTAGAAGGCACAGTAAGAAGACAAGATTTGTGCATGTAAAGAAATTAAACTTCCAGGCACTAAAGTGTTGAGTAACAACATGCACCTGCAATGTGTGAAAACTACGATCTAGTTGCTTAGCAGTGTATCCGTGAGAACTCACTGACAACTTTCGATATAGACTGAGCGTGAATGTGTAGTCAATTACCTCTAAAGAAAACACCGAGTGACTTTTATATCTCCTCTCTCTGTCTTGGCAGTGTGTGAAATTGTCTGTCAAGTACTTTTATCTGAAATTTCCAAAGATTTCGAAACTATCCGTACTCCTATTTATGGTTCTGTCATGTAATACAGGTAGTTAGACAAATTGGACAGCGTTTTCCAAACTGCTGGTGTTAGTAATTCTCAGCTAATGCATTGTGGGTGAATTAAAACCATAAAATGTCCGGTATCACGAGTGAATATCATTTCAGAAATCATGAAAGGTGATATTTCCTCCCAGTTTATAAATTATTTTTCATAGCGATATGTAATTTTTTATTTATAGGCGAAGCTATGACGTGAATTCCAAACAAACTGGATATTTAAAAATCACATTTCTTAGCTTTCTACATTTCAGTTCTAATTAATGACCAAAAATATTAGGTAGCCATATTTTTTATTCCTTTGCTTTCTGAGTGAAACATAGGTCTTCAAGCTTGAGTTTTCAAGTTTCAGTAGTAGGGGTGTTTACGTTTCACGAAATGCGGTTGATAGTTTCACACTCAACCTTCCCTCACTACTGGGCTTATGACAGGATTAACGAAGTTTAGGACTGCGTCCGTCGGAAATTGAACTCCGTACCATTTGCTCGGTTAGGGAGTGTTCCACCACCAAACTGCCGACGAACAGATAATCT